AAGAACTTTCAGGATACTTATTTCACTTAATTCTTATTTTGCAAACGTGCCCATTCATCAAATGATCTTCAAGAGTTTAAAGCTGTTTAATGATTAATGCAATTAGATGTACATTCTTGAGGTCTTTATATCTATTGTAGCTTTTTCTTTTTCTTTTCATGACATCAGGTATATCACCCATTGAATTGTAGTAGTGGTACCAGGAATAAAAAATTAAGGAATTTTTAACTTTTCAAAAAGAGAGTTTAAAGCTGTTTAAACCCCTTTAGAAGAGGCAGTCACATATATACATTTGAATTGCACTACTAAAAACCAATCCTCACAGTTGGGTTCTATAAATCAGTTCCCCAAAGAGTTACTGCAATTAAGCAGCTAGCATGAAATTACTCAGCCCTTGGCCATGCCTGGATTATTCCAGGAGCAAGAACTCCATTCTTATGAGTGCACTCCATTATTAGCCTCTTCTATGGGAATGATATATCCTGGCAGACAGCAGCTTTGCACTCTCCATTAATATTTATTAAGTACCCCTCTGGTAGAAGTGGAAGGCAATTTGATAAGATATGCCAAGAGCTCTAAATACGTTCATTCCAAGAGTCCATGTAAGGAAGTATTCTACAGTGTGGATAAAATTTATGCACAAAAACGTTCAGTGAACTGAACGTATTATAAATGATCTAATTTCCAAAAATAATGGAATAGTTAAGTCATGGTATAGCCAGATGAGGAAATACTAGGCATCTCTCAGAAATTATTTTTGAGTGTTTAAAAATGATATAGAAATGAGACTGTGTTGTAATTATGAAGTCAGAAAAGGGGACACAAAATTGTACATCCAATTTGGCAACTATATAAATTTAAAAGTTACTTTATAGGGGCACTTGGGTGGCTTGGCTGGTTAAGCACCCAACTCTTAACTTCGGCTCAGGTCATGATCTCGCAGTTTGGCAGTTTGTGGGATTGAGCCCTGCGCTGGGTTCCACGCTGACAATGTGGAGTATGCTTGCAATTCTCTCTCTACCCTCCTCAAAATAAATAAATAAACTTTTTATTAAAAAGTTACTTTTGGGGCGCCTGGGTGGCGCAGTCGGTTAAGCGTCCGACTTCAGCCAGGTCACGATCTCGCGCTCCGTGAGTTCGAGCCCCGCGTCGGGCTCTGGGCTGATGGCTCAGAGCCTGGAGCCTGTTTCCAATTCTGTGTCTCCCTCTCTCTCTGCCCCTCCCCCGTTCATGCTCTGTCTCTCTCTGTCCCAAAAATAAATAAACGTTGAAAAAAAAATTTTAAAAAGTTACTTTTATAAAAATTATACACATACACCTATTTCAACACCAAACGTAAGAATATAGTTGTCCCTAGATTATATGAGTTTTTTTCTTGTTCTGTATAATTCTCTGTGCTTTCCAAATATTCAGCTGTGAGCATGTACTCTGCCAATAACCTGAACATAAAAGTAGAAACTAAAAAGAAATAAAATAAAAGATGGTTATCTCTAGGTAGGATCATAAGCAACCTTTATTTTTATACTTTTCTAATTTTTTTCTGATGTTATATAAAGTGTTATTATTTATCTATTAAGATTTTATTTTTAAGTAATCTCTATACCCAATGTGGGGCTCGAACTCATAACCCTGAGATCAGGAGTCACATGTTTTCCTGACTGAGCCAGCCAGGCACCCCAAGATAAGTGTTATTTTTTAAAAGCAATGTATCATATACACTTGCTATAGCATATGTCTCAGCTCTAATTCTAAACCTTTTTTAAAAAGAAAAAATTTTCTTTAATGCTTATTTTTGAGAGAGAAACAGTGAGAGCCAGGAAGAAGCAGAGAGAGAGAGAGAGAGAGAGAGAGAGAGAGAGAGAGAGGGAGAGAGAGAGAGACACAGAATCTGAAACAGGTCCAGGCTGAGCTGTCAGCACACAGCCCGATGTAGGGGCTCAAACTCACGAACCGTTGAGATCATGACCTGAGCCGAAGTCGGATGCTTAACTGACAGTGTCTCCCAGGCGCCCCTCTAATTCTAACCTTTAAATGGTTTCACAAGGAAAGGAAAATTAAGCAGCACCCACATAGACAAATGGACAATAAGCCTGCTGATACATTGTTTCAACTGGCAGTAGGTTCTTTTCTCCTTTCTCATCAATCCTAAACACATCACCTCTAACCACCCCTTCCCACATTACCTTATATCCAAATATAACTGCTGTTTGTCTCAGTGGAGTTAATTATCAATGAAGTGACTTAGGACAAACAAAGAACCAAGAAAAATGGTAAACTTTTTTTAAAGTAAGATCTGGGCCCAATGTAGGACTTGAACTCACAACCCCGAGATCAAGAGTCGCATGATCCGCCAACTGAGCCAGCAGCCAATGCCCTGAGAACTGGTAAATAATTTCAATTACTGGAGGTGAAAAAAAAAGCATGTAGTTGATTGGTAAATAAAACAGAGGGAAAAGGTGGCTCAGAGTGACATTATGAGCTTGGCTGATGATGCTAAGGTAACTTCCTGGGGACGTCATCAAATATTCCTTAAAGATTTTTCTGAGGCAAGACAGAGATCAGAAGGAAACCCTGATTAAATAGCTTCAGGTAACCTAGTATCACAGTAACGCTAATGGTCAACACCAACGCCAATGCTGAATGCTTTAACATTTAGTGACAATGTTGGCTTTAGATCTGTTTTGTCTCCTAAGAATGCCCAATGGTTTCTGGGAAGCCTTCACGCAAACTAGGCTGTTCTAGACTTCTTATATCACAGTTCCTAGTTTTTGGGACTTCTATCAAACTGTCACTAGACTCTTGATCCAGCTGTCTCCAAAGCATCACATAAGCCTTTAACAAAGAGACAGACAAGAATGGTGGTAGAAGATTTGTGAGAGCTAGAAAGAGGAAAAGAGAAGGGTCTATGGTTTTTTCTTCTTTAGAGCACAAAGAACCTGTACATTCAAAACAGTGACAGACACGTGACAGTGACAAACACCTGCCACCATTCTATTTGTATTAGGACGGAACTAAAAGTTATATTTTACAAGGCCAGAATATGTTACTACATCAAAGCTTCACCAAAAATATCATGAGTTTTTGCCAGACAATTTTTAAGCCTTAATTTAAAAAAACTGATGCATAATTATATTTCTAAAACTCAATTTCATTTATATCTAAGTATACTTATGTGTGAAAAATTCATAAAGAATATATACCAAATACCATACACTAGTGAAATAACAAGTAATTTTTATTTATTTACTTTTTGTTTTCTTATCTACTTTGCAGTGAGCATGTAGTTTTTTACATTTCATTTTTCTTTTTGGGGCAGGAGGTACTCAATTTGGTGAAAATCAAATCAATGTATCTACACTTTTTTTTTTTTT